ATGACGCTGACTCACAGATTCGCACGTGTATGTACAAGCTAAAACAAAGAGTAACAGGAAATGCCACAGAGTAGCGGGCAATCTCTCAGAGTAGCGGACAATCTCTCAGAGTAGCGGCATAAATAATAGAGTAGCGGCCCCGCTACGCTAAAACGCTTTGGGGAGAACACTGGAAATTCTGATTGAGGTAACCAAGATGGCTGCGTTGAGTGCATGTTTTCTGCGGTGTTTAAAACAACACCTCGCTGCCTACTTCACCCACAGTCCCTCAAGGCACTGTGCTTCGATGTATTTTCTAAAATAATCGTTTATTTTTAATTAACCGGGGGTTCGAAATGTGTGCATTTTGTCACAGACAAGTAAGATATTGGCAGCGGTAAATACCCGTAATTTCCCCGCAATGCCGTCAGCTGACAAGGTTACGGTGGTCGTAGCGCCGGAGTCGTAGCATTAGCCCCGACTTTAGTTTTGACACAGTGATAGAGGGACTGTGGTTTTCAGATGCCTTCGTAGAAAACAATGTTGCCATTATATAGGTTTCCCTAGGTCTGTCTTCTTTGTTCTCTGTTGTTTGTTTTCAGTGGGGGCGTTAATGGGCAGTTAATCCGGAGGTTAGGTTCAAACCAACTATTAATTTGCATATTGTAGGTCTAGTAGGTCTGAATAGGGCAGGTCGGGTTAACCCAGGTTTGACCCAGGTGTTTGAATATGAGATCACCCCTTAATGAGTAGCATTAGTCAACAAGTGTACCAAGTGACAAACATACAATGTACAACGTGGAATGTCAGTTAAAGTTTCATCATACTAACAAGTCATTGAAAATGACACAGTCCCCTTTAAGTTCTTGTTGTGCTCGGCATATTAAAGCGGAGAGGTTGTCGCGAGCGTGTCCTTGAAACTTGAGTTCCAAGTGGCGTATACAACAGATTGTTTATTTACATCAAAACACGTGTTTCATGTCATAGTAATATGGCCAAAATAAAAACAGCCGTTATTCAGCCATCTTTGATCTGATTATGAAACACACTGATATGTATGATGTATGTGCCAAATATGAATGAAAATGGTACATAAATTGTGGAAATATAGTAGTAAGGCCAAAAAGTCAGATGGCTGTCAATCGGCCATCCTTGACCAGATTTTGAAACAAATTGTCATGGACATGCATCCTAACATGTATAAAGTACATGCCAAATTTGAATGAAAACTGACGGAGCACGTCCAAGATACCGCATAAAAAAACAAAAACAAGATGCCTGCCAGTCGACCATCTTTGATCCAATTGCGAAATAAATCGTCATGGACATGTATCCTAACATGTATAATCTATGTACCAAGTTTGAATGACAACTGAAAAAGCATGTCAAAAATACAACATTTTCAAAAAACAAGATGGCTGCCAGTCGGCCATTTTGAATCAAATCACTAAACCACTGCATGTGCATATGTCCCACATAAGGTACTAGGCACATGCAAAGAATGAATGGAATCGGTCCACAGGATTCTGAAATATGACGTTGGATAGACTGACGCACGGACAGACGGACAGACAGACACACGGACGGACAGACTCAAGAACTCACGGACTGGTCGGGGACATGTATCCTAACATGTATGAACTATGTACTAAATTTGAATGAAAACTGACAAAGCATGTCCAAAATACAACATTTTCAAAAAACAAGATGGCTGCCAGTCGGCCATCTTTGATCCAATTGTGAAATAAATCATCATGGACATGTATCCTAACATGTATAATCTATGTACCAAGTTTGAATGAAAACTGACAAAGCATGTCCAAAATACAACATTTTCAAAAAACAAGATGGCTGCCAGTCGGCTATTTTGAATCGAATCGCTAAACCACTGCATGTGCATATGTCCCACATAAAGTACTAGACACATGCAAAGAATGAACGGAATCGGTCCAAGGGATTCTGAGATATGACTCCGGACGGACGGACGGACGGACAGAGACCGAATTATAAGTCCCCGTTTTCGGACTTCGTCCGAACGGGGACTAATAAATGTAATATGCATCTCAGGAGGAAATCTTTCATGAATTCATTTGCAACCAGACTATCTCATGTTATTTTAAATGATCTATGTACATTTTTTTTTATATTTATTAATTTATTTTTATTATTGACTATGAACATTTAAGACAACCTTTGGTAAACAATCTTACAAATAAACATAGACAAAAATATGATAAATAGTACACTTTCAAAATACAATATGGCTGCCAGTTAGCCATCTTTGACAGGGGTTTTTCTAGAAAAAATGAACGCATAGACGAGGGAGTGGAGCGATGCCATATAGGAAGGTTTCTGCGCTGTTTTAACGGTGTATCTATCGCCATTGAAATATTTTTGGAGTAATTTTAGTGTATTTGGTGCCAGACACATTGTCAGCTGGTGATGCTGGGAAGTTTTCTAGGAGAAAAATATATTTGAGAAAGATTTTCATGTTGTACGGCAGCACGGAAGTGCGTGGCTCAGGAAATATATTTATGACTTAAAAGTTCAATCGGCAATTCGGTAAGAGGGCACCAGCTGAGAGTATCAGGGCACTGCGCCCCTGTTGCCCGGTTTAGAAAAACCCCTGTTTGATATGAATATGGAACAAACTGAAATGGACATGTATTTCTACATGTATGATGCATGCGCCAAATATATAGTATTATGGCCAAAAAAAGCAAGATGGCCTCAAGTTGGCCAAAGCATGTCAAAGATACCACATTTTCAAAATACAAGATGGCTGCCAGTCGGTCGTCTTCAATCTGATCTTGAAAAAAAATCACCATACATGTATTCTAACATGTTTAAAGTATGTACCAAATTTGAATAAAACCTGATAAAGCATGTTCAAGATACGGCATACAAACATGGCTGCAAGTTGGCCATCTTGAATCAAATAACCAATCCACTACATGTGCATACATGCAAAGAATGAAAGGGTTCTGAAATACAACCACAGATGGACAAAGACCAAATTATAAGTCCTTGTTTCAAACTTGTCCAAACTGGGAGTCTGGGACTAATAAAATATCCTTGTAAAAAAGTATGGAACTGTCAAAATTGTATCTGTAAATTTGTTATTCATTCCATTTACACTCAAGAAAAAATAAGATTCAAATTCTGGAGAATGTTTTTGTCTAAATTTCAAAAACAATAAGTGATATGCATTCACTGTGTAACCTTAGTCAATGTATACAAGATCAATAAATCAATACGGGAAAAAAAATCAATAAATCAATATGAGAAAAAAATCAATTTCCATTAGATAGTTACGACTAAAACATGCAGACTGCATAATTCCCCACAGGGACATGACATGAATGTAAAAACTTTATCGATAAAACTAAGTGAATTGACGTAAGAGTATATCAGGCAAAGATACTAGCATACTACATGAGAGGATATCGTATGGGTAGACTAGAAAAAACCTAACAGGGCCTTACATAGGTTTTAGGAAATGAGGAACAAAGTTGAAAAGACCCACCTTGGCCATAAAAATTGCTATGAGAATGTTCAATAAGAAATGGCACAAAAAAAATTTATGTAAGCTAAACATCCTTGGAAGCAGTTGCCTTAAATACCCCATCTTACTGTGACTGCCTCTGCCTTTCTCAATAACCAGATATAAATCTCCTTCACTATTTCAGTTAATCTATAGACCATATGATTAGTTTGAGGCATTTCACACATTATAGCTTCTATTAGATTTCCTTTAGAATACTGAAGAACAGATGATTTAGGATGTCCATGAAACCCAACCCCTTCTTCTTGACATATAGTTTTACTGACATTTGGGATTTTGGGATTCATTACTCATATCTTCAAAAAAAAAACATTGCCATACTGATTGCAAATTTGAGCATGTGGTACTTATTAAGTATGTATTCAAACATGTACAATTGTGTGCATACATATACAGCAACATTATACAAGTCTATACAAAGGGAAAGCATTAACTGAAGAACATTTGAGTTCTTACCTGGGACATCAATAAGTTTCTTGTAAACTGACAGGAACGCTGCTTCGGCAGCTTTACTTCTCTTTGATAATGCATCTACCTCTAGCTGGAAGCTTTTTAATAATGGCGCTACCGATTTTCTAATATCCTGCCAACCATAAAACATGTAATACAAGTTATATCACAAAATGTTGTAAGAAAAATCAATAAATTTGATTTTCACCTAAGCACAATTGATATTTACACAGCGAAATAAGATCCATATAAACAAGTTAACATTTACTGGTTTCTCATTCTTCAGGGTGTGAAACATAGCATAAGTATCTAAGCCTTGCCCAACCATGACACATGCAATACCAGTTATATCACACTGCTGTGAGAAAAATCAATAAATTTTATTTCCATCTAAGCACAATTGACATAGAGTGAAATATAAAGCCATGTAAACAAGTTAACAGATCTGGTTATCCATGGTTTGTAGAAATATATTTTTTTTTATATCTTGAATATTTTATATTAATTATGCAATCCAATCTAGCCAATATAAACGATATAAAAAAACACCAGCAGACTATGTGTTGAAAGGTCTCTTAAGAATTTAAATCTGCACTGACTACCAAGCAATGTTGTCTGTTGAACATATAATTTTACCACCAGTAGGAAAGCAAGTGAGTTTTTTGTCAAGTGGTTTTATCATGCTTGGCCACCCCATGTTAATAATTGTTATTGTCACAACACAGATTAGCAGGAAAGAATACTCTCAGGTGGCCTGTGTTTTCAAACATTGACTCTCAGACAAAATTGTTTTAAAAAACATGCCTATACTAAGAATGAAATAATGTCTCAGCAAGTAATTTTAATTGTGACAAGCACTATGGTGTTTGAATCACAAACATGCATGATAGACAGGTGACTTTTAGTTTTACCGGATTAAGAGCCACATTCCAGCATGTACAGTAAGTTAATACAGACATACAATCCCTGTTTCTAGCAATGTGATATCAGCCCAATCCTGAAATACATCAAGAACCTTCACAGATCAACTAAACAACCCACATATCACTATAAAGCATATCAAACCTAAACAAAGATACAGGAGTGAAGTCAATTCACTAAAGACAATTACCTCTGGTGTATTTTTTTTGAATTCTCTTGACTGATCAATCAATCTTTTTCTTGAAGAATCACCTTCATCTTGTCTGTTGGCCAAGTCTGTAGCTGTACTGTCAAGTTCTCTCTGTAAATTATAAATCACGTTGTATTAATACAAATGTTATATATTTATTTCACATGGTCAATAATTAGCTTTGCAAATGTAAAGCAGCCCAACCTTAACTCAAAATATAGCATGCCTACATGTCGATAAAATTCTTAGACATGTACATGGTACACTTAAATTTTTTGTAGTATTCAATAGTGATAAGAAAAAGTTGAAAGGATTGATAATATAGGCATGTTCATGTATGCCTGTAGTGTACAAGTATTTATCAGTGTATACGGTACAGTGTCAAATTATTTTATTATTTCCTAATGCTCACAAGGTAAGTGCCTACCCCAGAATTTGCCATTAGATTTTTAAAGCTGTATGTGGTATTCATCAAACAATATACATATGTGAAGAACAATTCTGAGTTGTTTAGTACATATATTTTCCCTATTAGAAGGGCACATAAATTCAAAAATGCATTTATTGTATAGTGGATTATCCAATACTGTAAAATATGTATTGGAAGCCGCAGCTTCTATTAAATGGTCCAATGCAATAGAGAGGAAGTGGCTTCTATTAGGGCATTTACATATATTAGAAATGGTAAATTTTCGGTTCTAAGTGTTCAGAAAAATGGGATTTGGCTTTTAATACAGATTTTATGCGATGTATCACCCAGGAAATATTTTACTGTTTTTTTTCTGTTCTTTCCTTTGTTCTTTGACAATTATGTCAAATTAATGCCCCAAATCACATTTTTACAGACAATTTTCTGGATAATCAGACATACCCAGTCATTTCGTAACCTCATGCTCAACTAAAATACAATATGTATTATTTTGTCCTGAATGTATATATGTATTTTGCATACTGTTCTAAAGACTAGTGCTATCCAGCAGACAATAGATCCAACCTGTTGCATAGATTATGCATTGCTCAGCTGTGATTAACACATCACCTGCTAAAAGCTTCCAGAGAATGTTGAATGAGAAAAAACAACATCAGCAGGCGATGTATACATGTACACGTCAAACCAAATTTCTTTTTTTCTATCTGAATTTAATAATTTGTTTTATCATGACATTGAATTATTATACATCTGTCACCGAACCTACATAACTTAAATACAAGTTACCGCACGTCGTTTTTTTTGCAGTACTGCATGAGGTATCTGAATCCTACCTTTCAGGAAACATTTACATTATAGTGAATATGTTTATGGAGTGAAAGTTCAACTATTTTTTTACCATTTTGCTCAGTTTTGGCTTCATACACAAAGGGGTTACGTTGACAAGTATAAGTATTACAGGGATATACAGCAAATTACGCACTCAGATGGTATGCAGTCACATCCAGCTTCGCTACAAGCTGGTCGGTACTCTCACTATACTGTCTTTGTGCATACTTTGCGGTATCCTAATAACCTCATTTTATTTACATGAACATTAGGTAATAAATAAATATAATAAGTAATTTTCACTTGAACAACTGCCAACAAAATAATGTTATGAGAACTAGATGTAACACTACTCAGTTTCACTTTCATATGCAACTATTATTTTAGCTGCCAAAAAATATGAATCACACTATGAACAATAAATTACATTACAACACACTGTGTAGAATGTATGGTTATTGTTGATAATTAAGACTAAAATATCCATTATTGACATGTGTATTATTACTGTACAATAATATTTAATAATAGACCCTAGCAGCTGTTACCTAATATCTTATAAGTTATGTATAAATAATATAGAATCCTTTCTGAGAAAATAATACAAACATTTCTGAGACTGTTTTCTGCAAAACATCTATTTGATTTATAACATTGTATTTCTTTATGAATTTGTTGTTGAGGGTTCCCCACATTTTGCAGCAGAGAAAATCACATTTCAAATTTAGCCCATAAGACTTCCTCAAATCATTATTATAAAATTTCAAATGTACTCAAGACATGGCGCACAGCACATCTTTAGAGAATTCAAGATAAAATGTATTATTCTATAATTTACCATGTGAACTTTAATGAGTGCAGAATAAGAATCACTTCAATTAAATACAAACTAACAAAACCTATGACCTTTATACTTAGCACACATGTTGGTCTGTACGTGCATTACTAGAACTAACAGCTGACACATGTACATGTATTTATTAGTATCATTAAGAACTTATTAATTAATATTGAAAAATCATGTCTAAGTGTATGACGTGTTCATTAAACCACATGTATTCGTCAGAATTAAAAAAAAAATATTTGTAGTTTGTATCGAGTCCAGACAGTTTTTTCTTTTTAAATCAATGGTTAACTAAGTCAATTATATAATAATATTAAGGTAATAAATGATGACAAGTCAAAAAACACTGCTCTTCAATGGCAGAAACCCTACCAGATTTGAGGCCTATTGTGTAAATTCACTTAATTTCGCAAAATGAACCCCCCTCCCTCCCCAATGACCCAAAACAACACACATTACATCATGCTTTTTTAATTTCCTACTTGGTATTTTCATGAATCAGAAAGTGACAACAAATGTACAAGCTTACAAACAGAAATGCTACTTTTACTATCATAAACAAATTTGCAATGAAACATGCACTACTCAAGAGGAAATTATTGTCATTTGTTTATTAATTTTAATTTTTTTTAAACTTAAAAAAAAAAACTGTTTTGTTCACATTTTTTAACAGATGTGCATGATGACCCAAAATTTTTTTTCACACATGGTTAAACGTGCTGAATATAAATTGTATTTGGCCACTGAAAAAAAATCACCCTAAAAATAATAATAATTCTATTTCCCAGTGAAACAGAATAATAATAACAAATATGATAAAGTTATCCACCTTCCAATACAATTCGTTGATAACAAAAAATAGTTGAAAAACTATTCGGAAAATGTTCTGATTCATATTATGCGTGCTGAGCAAAGCTTTGAATATAAATACTTGATTAACAATGAAAATGAAATGCACTGAGCAAGTTATTACAATTGACAGGCAATCAATCAATGAATAGTATTGATCAAGTGGTCTCATTTACATACACTATACGTTTTGATTATGCACGACCAAAATTGAAATGGCACAACATACAGCCAGAGAAAAAATAACAGAGAAAATTCATTGCATTTGTTGAAGATGTTTGTTTTGATAGCACTCATGAGATATGTCGCGAATCATTCAAACACATCGAAAGTTCTCCGGCGAATGGGAAGAGTGAAAACGCTACATATGCAAAGAGACGAAAGGTTCGCCCGTCCTGACTGGGAGTGTTCGTTCTTCATCATGGCAAAATACGCGCGACCGAGAATGGATGAATTCGATAACAAAACTGCAATCTTTCACAAAACTTTGGTAAACTATGTAAAAAGTTTCCCAAATAGCTTATGTACTGCTATAGATTATGCAGGGTTCCTTTTTTTGCCCAGATCGGCCTGGGCAATTGTCAGTGACGAAGTGCTTTTGTTCTGATTCCGTCCAGCGAGATCATTCGTCACTCTTTATTGATCAATTTCTGATAGGCTGCTGATCAATCACAAACAAACAGCGGTTCTGGAATGTTTTTCGCGCTGAAATTTTAACAGCTTCACTTGACGATATCATCATTATCTTTGCTAATTTCACAAACTGTAAACTCACCTGTAATTGTGGCAAATCGAATGTTTTCCAATACTGATTCATCGATAGCAAATTGGCAGCAGCCATCTTTATGTCTCCTCCACTCCACGACTACAGTCTCGCAAAACATGTGTTCGAGAGTTTCGAGAGCAGATCATACTATCCAGGCATGGGGGTGGTTAACTTCTCAGATGGAGATGGGCATAATATGCTAAACGCCAAATGAATAAGGATAAAAAGCGTGAGAATTTGGCATTATTCGTCTTTACAAATCTACATATGAAAACAAATTTGTACCATGCTCTCGTTAAATATATCCAATAATAGTAATATATTGTGAAATTTGCATAATGATCTCAACAAATGAAATCAACCCCCTATGCAAAATAGTGTATACAAGATGGCCACTGCATCATGGCGCTCTGCTTTGAACTCTCATCCAGTTTTTAGTGATTTGCAGGAAAATAATGCGGAAGAAAGACTTAAAATCGATTCCAGAAATTTACTAGAAGTCGGCGGCAGTGAACTATTTGTATGGGACCCGCAAAAATCTCATCTTCTAACAACAAATCTAAAGAATTTACTCGATACGCAGGTGGAACAGGAAAGAAGTAACTCGTACCAGGTGAGATGTGTACTTAATATGTTGTGATGATACAAGATACTTCGCGATGGGCGTTATTCGCAGTCCGTGATATTTACGATTTTTTTTTATAACTGGCTTTGTGATAATATACAATTATGTATGATAAGTACATGTTTATGTGTCATTTAGTCACATGCTTGATTAATTTACGTTGTTTTGTCATAATAATAGTTTTGAATTTATTTATATTGTTTTCTGATTGAAAAGTGGGGAGTACAGTTTGTATAAAGTATTTCTCTTTGAGTATTATAAAAATCACACCCTGTTACAAAATGTATTTCATCTTCAATTTCTGATGAAGTGCATTTTTTACAGATTCTTTTTTCTGCTGGTATTTTTGGCCTTTTATGTCTGCCAACTTCAATTTGAAGTTTTATATGGCAGCTCAATCTCAAGTGTGACATTACTTTGATGTCTTCTCTATTATGTAATAAATGCAGATAGGGTGACGTACTGATATCATTTTAAGGAGGCTGTACATACATACAAACAAATATAATGTTTGCATTTGAAGTTTTAATAATTTTAATAGGTGTACTATATTAAACCTGCAATGCATATTGCATTGGCCAAAAAAACAAACAAAAACACCAATTTTATCATGAGACAACACCTCTTGTCAACATACATGTAGCATAGTCATCGTTTTATGTTTGTTTTTCTTTATTTTTTTGTATGTATGTATACAAAACGCAGTCCGAAACTGGGACTTGTGTTTTTCCTCCGTGTGTCCGTCCGTCCATGCGCACGTCTGGACCTGGATCTTAGAAATGCCTGGACTCATCACAATCAAACTTCACACATACCTCATACATTATACATATGCACATCAATTTGTTTCACAATCTGATTCAAGATGGCCGAATAGCAGCCATTTTTGTGCTGAAAAATCATCAAAATTAAGCATTTCTCGGCTGTTTACAAGATGGATTTTGTTCAAACTTGGTATATACATTGAACATTATAGAGGCTTGATGACATCATTTTGTTTTTCAGATGTGATTCAAAATGGCCGACTGTTTAATGAATGTGGTTCTCGTGCCATATCTCTGACTTGCTTTGACTGATTATGTTCAAATTTTAAATATTCATTATACATCATGTCATAGATATACAGATATTTTCGTTTGACGATCCTATTAAAAATGGCTAAATGGTGGCCTTTTTTATGCTAAAAAAATCATCAAATATCAAGCATTTATGGATGGATTTCGTTCAAACTTAGTATATACGTTAGACATTACTGGTTCCTGATGCACGTCATTTTATTTTTCAGATTGGATTCAAAATGGCTGACTGGCAGCCATGTTGTTTAATGAATGGGCTTCTAGAGCCACATCTCTGACATGCTTTGACTGATTATGTTAAAATTTTTAATATTCATTATACATAATGTCATAGATATACAGATATATTGGTTTGATGATCCTCTTCAAAGTGGCCGATTGGTGGCCATTTTTGTGCTAATAAAATCATCAAATATCAAGCATTTCTGGATGGATTTTGTTCAAACTTATAACATACATTAGACATTACAAGTTCCTGATGCACGTCATTTTATTTTTTAAATCGGATTCAAAATGGTTGACTGGCGGCCATTTTGTTTTCATGAATGGGCTTCTTGAGCCATATCTCTGACATGCTTTAACTGATTATGTTCAGATTTTATATATTGATTATACGTCATGTTATAGATATATACATGTATTCAAAATGGCTGATTTTGTTTTAATTAATGCTGTTCCAGAGCAATATCTCTCAATGTGGACAAGTACTTGTTTGACGATCAGATACAAATGTCAATCATTTTAATGTTAAACAATCATCATAATCATATTCCTGTCATGGTTATATTCCAGCTATATTACTATAAACAAAAGTATATATCTTAAATTTGATAACTAATTATGCAAGATTGCACAGTAAATGGAAGCATAGTCACAAGGATCTCATTCTCTGAGTGTAACTATTCATAAACTAATCTATGTTTCATTGCAGACCTTATTATGTACAAATCCACCTAGGTTTGCTGTTTGTAACATTGCACTAAGTCCTACTTGCTGTCATCTGGCATTGAGTGGCCAACATGGTGTTTCCATTCTCGAGTTACCAAGTCGATGGGGTAAATATGCTGATTTTGAAGGTGGTAAATCCAACATTAACTGCAGGTAAGTGTAAATACATTCATTTTTTTCTTCAAATATACCCAGAAATGTTGAATATTGGCTAATTATTATTCTGACTAAGTTATTAATTTGTATCAGATTTGGTTGAAAAAAAAAAGTTTACTTGTAATTATGCAGTATGTAAACAGATAGATAAGATAGATGGAATGCATATATGCAAATAGCATCAGACAAACAAACACTGTCATTGGCTAGTATTATCCGTGAATCAAAGATGAATACATAATACAGCCCATGACGCCATGTCAACCAGCTAGAAATAGTACAAAATAAATGTTCATTCATCATTATTACCTGGTATGAGTTATTAGGTTAGCACAAGCTTTATCTAGGGCAATAACATCCTGTTCATCATCATTTTCTTTGTCAGAGCTAGCCCTGCGTACAGTGCTGTGTGTACGCGGACGTGTTCGGTTGATAGATGTCCCCAACCACAGCCCTGAGGACCTCTATAGACAAAGCCCGGTCGCGCACCAGAGTTGATGCGCAAGTTAAAAATAAGTAGTTTCCCAGCCGAAATCGGTTGAAATGACAATATAGTTATCCGTAACAACCATTGCAAAATTATCTGAAACTGAAATGTCTTAAAAAAACTACTTAGTAATTACCGAAAAATTGTTAACACGTAGGTACCGAGGAATCATCCACCAAACACTGTCATTTTTGGTGTTTGCTGTTTATCGATCATCATGTTTGGTACATGAGCATGTACATTTGTATATCATTAAAAAAGTTATATTTTTCAAAGTCCCGGACTTAGTCTTTGAAGGTACGCAGGGCTGTGGTAGGGGACATCTATCAACCGAACATGTCCCTGTACACACAGCACTGTACACAGGGCTATGTCAGGGCTTGAGCAATAATCACTTAGTTCAGAGTCTGTATCAGAGTCTTTGCATGACAACATGTCCTTTTAAAATTTGTACAGCCACTAACCAAAGGGCAGGTTGCATACTTTTTGTATCTATTGGGAACAGTTTTCTCGGTTTGTTGGCAGCTAGAAGTCCAGACACGTTTCGACATTTTCAAAATACGAGCATCAGGCTTACCAGGGTCATTGATTACCCATGGAAAACTCTTCTTCCATGATTCTAGAAAAAAAGCAGGCGACTCGATATTTTAAAGATCTAAACTTCTTTGCGATCGACTCTACCGCTGCCATTTTTTTAGTGATGCATCTCGAACCCTGCGTCATCAGATATTGCAGCATATGGAATAGTGCAACCAATCTTGCAATTCGTGAGAAAATGCATCTTTTTTTTCTCTATCTGATTTCCACAGTCGTATTTTTAGGCATTGCAAGTTTTTTCTACCGCCCGAATGATGAATTTTGTCCTTTTTAATAGCAAGAGTATATTTTTTAAATAATAGCAGGACACTCGGACCAGCTTTTTAATAATGTTCCTGGCCCGGCAGAAAAATAGGTGGCCTCGGACCTCCGGGTTGGCGCTAGTTTCGCACACTGGCTATATCTGACATGCTCTGACCATTCATGCTCAAACTTGATAGCTTACTGAAAGTATGTGATGCATACATGTATATCATCAAAGTTGGTGAAACTATTCTTCATTATTTCATTAAATAATATTATTTGGTTCTTGTTTCAGAACCATACCTATTGCAGAGAGGTTTTTCACCACACAGTCATCAGTGTTATTATTACAGGCCTCATGGCACCCTGGAAGTCAATCAGACACTCACATAATGCTATTGACATCAGATAATTTACTAAGGTCAGTAACCAACATGTCTGGCACTGCATTATCATATTATTATTTTAGTTTGTGCATGCATATATCTGTCTATCCAAAGATATGCTGTGATTGATTTCTTTTAAACCTGGTACAACAGCAATATATGATGTCATACATGTACATATGTAGAAGAATCTTGATTTCATCATGTATGGCCAACTGGCAGCCATGTTGAACATGAAATGAAGGTACATCCCAATACTTGGAAATGACTTGTCTAATTTTATTCAAACTTAGTGTAATGACAACATATATTGGGTTGCAGATGAGATTTGGTCAAGGTGAATGTGTCCATGACTGACTATCTGAGATGACCAGATAGATTTCAATCAATTTTTGTAAGATGACAGTACATAGTTGAATGCAAGTGTACATTTTTTTATTTTTCAAGACTGGCCGTTTTGTTTTTTCACTGTGTTCATATCTATTTCTCTGAATCATCATTGCCGTCTCAAACTTTTTTTATCTTAAGGACATCAAACAATTTCAAAACTTTGTATCTGACGAGAACTGTACTTTCATTTTATTGAAAACACCTAAAACTTCTCTGAGGAAATTCAATTTCAATAAATTGAAAATGCCAAAAACATCTTGGAAGGATTTTGATTTCATTTGATTGAAAATGCCTAAAACTTCTTGCAAAGATTTCAATTTATTGAAAATTCCTAAAACGTCTTGGAGAGATATTATGCCATATCTCAAATTGTAAGCTGGCATATGTTGTAAATGATGACATAGTTTTTGGTTTCGAAGAGTGGAAAATGTACTAAAAATAATGATTTTTGAAAGATATAAGGACAAGTTTACCAAAATATGTCACTGTAACACACACAGGAATGCTATTTTATGGTGCTATGGGATAATAATAAACCAATGAACATTATCATTAGGGTTAGGATCCTGAGTTTGATTTGAGTAGGCTTCTGCCTTAACTGTTACCTGGGCATAGCATACCTGGGTTGATTTAACTTAAACATAGTGTTTTCTACTGTTTTTTTCTCATACATGCAGTCATTCGTTGTTTTTGGAGCAATTAATAGGGAGTATGAGATAAGAATACTGGACATGGCTTAGTTATCATTTAGTAAGCATTGAGACTAATAAGAAGAACTGTGTAATTTTTTTGAAAATTGGTAACTGGCTCAATGTCAATTACTAAAATATTGATATTTTGCATTGTATTGTCTTTATACTGTTGCAGGCATCGGGTAACTTTGGTATCTAATCAATGAATACTTGAATCCATCATATTGACTATTGATTCGCATATATATACATTTGAAAGAAGGATACAAAACACAACATGAGCCTGTCTAAAAGACTATTATCTGTATGGTATTTGTCCCAGTTGTATAAGAAGTTGGTCTAAAAATTATAATCGTACATCTGTCAACTGTACATTGTGTGCATTGAATAAATTTTGTTTCAATTGCAGAGTTTTTGAGCTAAATGATCCGCAGTCTGTTTATCAAATATACTCACTTGGGGAACCACCAAATAATTTACATACAATGGCTACATTTGAAGAAGTCCTTGGTGAAATAGCCGTGTCGTTCGATTTCGGACCACCACTTGAAAGTACTCCATGTTTGGAGAGCACTGGATCAAGTCATGGTAAACAGAAGGCTAAAGTTTATCCTGTATATGTACTCAGAGGAAATGGTGATGTCTATTACCTGACGGTATCAATGGATGATCAAAGGTTAGAATAAGAAAACTGGAGAAAGTGTCAGCGGAAATGATGATGTGTAGTACTGTAAAATCTGTATTAGAAGCTGCAGCTTCTATTAAAATAGTACAATGCACAGGGTTTGTGCTAATGTCTTGGCAAGAGAAGTCAAAATTTTAAGAAATTGAAATTTGACCCTGGATAACTTTATTAGAGATTTTACCCCAGCTTGCCTGAAAAACTTGGTCCCTCTTCAATAATTGGAGTCAGAGAAGCAAAATATGGGGTTAACGCAATCCCTGATGCAACAGAAGGAATGCGGCTTCTATTAGAGCATCTACACACATATGAGAAATGGTGAATTTTTGGTTCTCAATTGTTCATTAAGAATGGGTATGACTTATCCTATTGGGGATGCGACTTCTATTAGAGCATCTACACCCATATGAGAAATGGTGAATTTTTGGTTCTCAATTGTTCATTAAGAATGGATATGACTTATCCTATTGGGGATGCGACTTCTATTAGAGCATCTACACCCATATGAGAAATGGTGAATTTTTGGTTCTCAATTGTTCATTAAGAATGGATATGACTTATCCTATTGGGGATGCGACTTCTATTAGAGCATCTACACCCATATGAGAAATGGTGAATTTTTGGTTCTCAATTGTTCATTAAGAATGGGTATGACTTATCCTATTGGGGATGCGACTTCTATTAGAGCATCTACACCCATATGAGAAATGGTGAATTTTTGGTTCTCAATTGTTCATTAAGAATGGATATGACTTATCCTATTGGGGATGCGACTTCTATTAGAGCATCTACACCCATATGAGAAATGGTGAATTTTTGGTTCTCAATTGTTCATTAAGAATGGGTATGACTTATCCTATTGGGGATGCGACTTCTATTAGAGCATCTACACCCATATGAGAAATGGTGAATTTTTGGTTCCCAATTGTTCATTAAGAATGGGTATGACTTATCCTATTGGGGATGCGACTTCTATTGAGGATTTAATGATACCAGACTGTATTAATGAAGAGATTAATGAAGAGAAAATAGCGATTTAGAAACAAAAATATAATAATATTTTTTCTTGGTAGTACTGTAGGTTATGCAGTACAGGGCCCACTCAGTATGTACCCACCAGCTGAAGACAACTATGGTCTAGATGCTTGTAATATTATATGTCTGCATAGTAATCCACCTGTATTAGTCATTGCTACATCCACTGGTAATTTATATCACTGTATTGTATTGAGTAAAAGTGATGAAGATGATGACACAGGGTCACAGGTAGGTGTGTCACTACACTCTTATTTAGCAGGGCTTGAACTCTGGGGCTGAAAGGTCACCCATTTTCAATGCCCAAATTGATATACTGTATTATACCAGTTAGCCCTGGGCAATGTTTTGGATAGTGGGTTATATTTTGTTACATCTCTTTTGGTACTTTTTCCTCAACATTGTTTGTACAATCAAATGTTTCCACGTCCATGCCCGCCATCAACTCTGACTGGCTTTTCTTTAGAGTAGATTTGCACTTGGTACTGTAAAAATTTGCGCTTCCAATTTATTTACAAAAAAATCAATATAAAATGAATTCTATTAATTTGCTGTGTTAAAAAAAAAAGATTTTAATTAGTATTCTTTTAATTTGTGCTCTAATTTTTTAGGCAAAACATAGCAAGGTAGTCATTATTCTCAAGGGAATTTTTAAAAAAGATGTTGTGAAATGTGAAATGTATCTTGTATCCTGGTGATCACTACCAGAGATTACAACACATCGTGCTAGCCACGATTTAAACAAAAATGTGAACTTCAATATTTGTTACTTGCAACATAAACATAACTATAGACATGAGGCAAGAAAAAAAATGCTTTAAAGAAATGCATATAGATTGGAGAATTTCCTCAGTCATCGTGGATAAAATTAGAAAGCATTGCTCTGATATGAATGACTTTGACCCAATGCATGATTCATTCAAATTCAAATGTATACATTCAAATTTTTGCTGATATGGTATGGAATGACAGGTTGCTTGTCAAATGTATTTTTCAATTTAAGCTGTCTTTCACATAAATTCATGCTTCTCTGCATTCCCTGACATGTATATCTATATTGATCAAGTGTTTGTTCGCTGTTTGTCATCAAAATATCAAGTGTTTGTTCGCTGTTTGTCATCAAAATACCACAATCTGAAGGTTTTTTGCCCAAATTATCATGCATTTTTTGTCTTATTTTCTTAAATATTTCTGGTGATGAACCCTAATTTTGGAGCCAACAAACAAAATTTCAGTCAGTTTTTACTCAAAAAAATTTAGCTAATTTCATTCCAGGAAAGTGCAGACTATAAACAAGACTATTTTGTGAGTTTGTGGTAAAAAGTTAAACTTTTGTTTTTTCTCTTTGTTGTATAACTTTCAGAGTTGGCGAGATGACCTTGATTTCAAAAGAGGATCAGATTTATCACTTTATGTGTACGAGAATGTTGAACTAGAGTTGTCTTTGTCATTAGATCATTTAGAGGAAGATATGACATGTCCAATTACATTACACAGAGGTAAGACAAACCACCACCACCAAATAATGCTGGTGATGGCAAAATCAGTGGCATTTCAAATTAAAGCATGCCCTCAGTGGTAGGTGTGTAAAAGACAACAGTCATTGCAAGGTCATATTTTATAATGCCAATGTTATATTTACAGGAATACTCAAGTACTTGAAATAATGGGTGTAAGAAAAACAGTTGAATTTGTCAATGTGGTTTTAATATTTGTTCGTCAAAATACTTCATCACTAGAAGGCATTATGGGAATGATTTATATGAAATATGTGGAATGTGGTTACGTTCATATCCAGCAACAACAAAAACAATGAACATAATGTTTTTTCACTGTGCTATCATTAATAATATCATTGCTTAACTCATTCATCTGTCATTTATCCATTCAGTCACTGGTTTGCTAATAAATTATGCATACGTTATTGCATTATCCAGAACATCAAGGCAGACAAACTCTCATTGAGCAATGGCTAGACTGGCCAAGTCGTGGCAATTTTATTTTTGTATGATAATTCGTAAAAGAATGAGTTTGTAGAATCTCTCGCGTTGACGCAAAATTTCTACGACTGGTCTGCCATGCCCTCCATAGTCACCCTGTTTTTGTGGTGATAAATATGCTAATGAGTATCATGAAAAGTAAGCTGCCAACCAATAAGAAAAGGGGATTTTGGTCAGATGCCAAGAAGCCTAGTTTTCTTTTTTGGAAGTGTTTCACTCCTGAGTTCCAAAATATTACTGCAAATCATGAATAATTAATAGCAATGAATACGCTTCAGAATAGGCCAGTTGTGCTATTTTCGCATGGGACCAAGAAAGAATTATAAAATTACTATAGCTGGGCCAGTCTAGGCAATACCCTTCAATATCTCTGTAAAGTTCAAGCCCCGATTATCAATACTTGTAACCCTAATAGCCGTATATATCAAAGAAAAACCTGCCGTGAATATTGTTAGATTGAAAATTGACATATTGACATTTATTTAGTTGCATGTATTTTTAATAGTGTAAATAAATCATAGCATGTGTGAATCAGTTCTGTTTAACTAATATTGTCATTCTTGTATTTTTAGATCCAACAACTACTGACCGGTATCATTGTTCACATGGGACTGGAGTTCATAGTGTGGCAATTACATGGTTGCCAAAGTTACAACAACTTTGTGGTAAGTTAAGTCATATTTCACATTATTATCGACATCGAAAGCAATAGAATAAAACGTACAGACGTGTTGAAAAATGAAATGGACATGTTGAATGTCATCCCTATATGGAAAATGTGCGTCACGTTTCAATCATGCAGAAGCATCATGTCACTGATGCAAATGTTCACACAACACAAAACATTTTATGCAGTTATTTCTCATTGAATTATTACTACAAGCATGGGTAGGATGTAACAGAATAAGGTTATTATAAGATTACCGCAAAGTATCCACTCAGGCAGTATGGGATCACACTAACCTGCACTACGTGTCGGCTGATGTGACCAGTCTGTTGTGCAGTCAGGCCGTCTCATACAATATATTCTGAATCATTAAATTGGACCAACTTTCTATCAACACATCTTGAATAAAATAAAATAAATACAGATATTTTGTGCCTTTGTGAGTTAACTTTAGTGTTAAAAAGGTGCATGTTTGCATACAGACAAAACAATTTAAATTGATTGAGCAGCAATCACTCATTATTGCTGAATATTCTTTTTACAGTTACTGAAGATGAGGGTAGTTTATTGGAATTTAGTCAAGATCAGTCATGTATTGCGGAGCATTTAGTTTGTACAAGACCAACTTCTGGAAGGTATGTGTTATTATAATATTGTGCGTTGCAATGACACGTCTTCATTGCATCACATGCTGTCCAGTTATCAACAGTAAATGGACAAATGGATGAATGCACAAATAATGCCACGTGAATCAGCAATATCCTACGTTTTCCAAATTTGTAACAGTGGGATTGGCTAGTTGGTGCAGCGGTTAGCCTATCAGGCTTGGATACTGAAGGTTGTTGGGTCAAATTCCGCACAAGACAACATGCAATTTTTTACATAGTGATGATATGATGTTATTGAGTGATGTTTGTTTTATTGTCTTCTCCTCTAATTTGTATACTCACTTCTGCATTCATTCTCTGTTTTCATCAGATCTACTTCAAAATCGTAATATTGGTGACCCTGTCTGAATAATTTTGTAAAAACAAACTCATTATGATTCGTTCATGTTATGGAGTCATAGTCATCTGCAAAATATGTTTATGCATGCATCATCAACTTCTGATCCTACCTATATTTGCTGGGTATTATAATTCAGATAAAGGACTCCGTACTGCCAATTATTATGTAATAAAAAGGCTGCAACATTTTCTCAGAAGGAGTCTGTAAATATTATCACAAGAAACGTGTATAAATCGACTGCATTGTTTATGTATAGGACACTATAATTCTTAGACTTCTTTTTTTACAGTTTACCAGCACCAATTCAAGGATTATGTATTGTATACGATAAACTACTTGGAATAACACTGATATGCCTGACATCACATTTAGAGTGTGTGGCGCTACCACTTGTGTAAGTAATAATGCTAGTCATGACTATGAGGTCTTATTCAAAATATAACTGACATAACCTTATGTGTGTGCAGTAGATCACAGTTGTATACAATAGCAACATTTTAAACCTCAACTGTGCTACTTCGCTGTGGCTTTTCATTCATTTGTTCGAGCGCAAGCAAGTTTTTATTGCTTCCCGTTTGAATGTAGCCTGAAAATGTGGACTTAGAATTTCACCTGTGTATATTATGTCTGTGTGTCCATCCATCTGCACCTCTATCTCACACATGCTTGGGCCAATTACATTCAAACTTTAAATTGAATAACTGCATGAATAATTAATTGCATTACATGTATCGGTATGTAATACTTAATTACATTAATTGTAAACTATGCAATAATAATTTGATCAAAAAGTAAGAATATAATTTTTTAATTGTCTCAAATTCAAAATAACACACACAACACACATATATAATAGTTTGAGGACAATTTCATATTTATTTCTCAAGCAATGGCAACATGAAGATTTGAATACTGCGATTACAGTTATACCATTTACATTATTGTTTTTTGTAGTAATCTATATCAGTTGGCACCACCGCTGATGTCAGCATCCTTCCCATCACAGAAATCTGTGTCACCCTTAAGAGTCATGTCTGTAGAACCATTTGATAGACATATTAAGAAGATACTGCAAAGACATGTCACTAATCCAGTGCTCAAGTAAGTCTCCGTATAGCGTAGGTATCAATGTGATATGCATGGATAAACCTTGTGCTGCTGTACAATTGGTTGGAATTTCACTGGTTTCCTTGTGAGCTCAACTATGCAAAAAGTTTGCATGTGATCTATTCCAAACTGATACATCTTATGTATTAGCATGTGATCTGGATGTTTAAATATGGTATCTTTCAGTAGTAGAGGTTTTTTTCTTTGAAAATATCAAATTTACTTTTTTCCATATTCTCTCATACGAATATATGAAGCATGCATTTAACTAGAAAAAAACAATTGTAGAGATGGTTTAGGAGGGTAATACATTTTGAATAAATCTGAGATACAGTGTGTTTTATATTTTTTGGGATTTTTCACGCTTAAGTAAACATCAGTATTTGGGGTTAGTCTAGAGAGTTGATCTCGACACCCAGCTGCTCCACGATGGTGATTTTTGGCATAGGTATTCTCTGATAGCTGCTAATGAAATCTGGCAAAGATAATTTGTCTACCACTTTGACTTTAGAAAATACTCTCCCGTATGTGAACTCTGAAACAGGGTACCATATTTCAAAACAACGTTGACAATGTTTTTAAAAAGCGTTATGAGATAAAATTCTAGGTCACGCAACAGTAGACAAACTGGGAAATTAAATTCAAACCTTCTTTAGTATCTCTGAATTCCGCAAACATCTTTTCTGTGGCCTTATTTCGGTTTCTTCGAAAATAACACCTCTCTATTTGCACAGTGATCATGTGATTACACGGTACCATTTTTTTGTTGGAATATTTATTTCATATTATTTGAAAAATAAGCTTTCTAAAAATATATAACTTGATGGGATTCAAAGAATATGTTACTTCAAAAATGTGCTATGCAATTGCAATAGCAATAACCTCTACTACATCCTTAAACACGTACTTACATTGGTGTTAAAATAAAATAATCTTAATAATAAAATAAATTGACTAATAAATAATTAAAAAATAATTTGATTTCAGATCCCATCCTGAAACAGAACTTACGCCTCAAGAATGTTGTCAAGTTCTTAACCGTGCAACTCAAGTATTTAGAGAAGAGTACATCATCAAACAAGAAGTAGCAAGAGAAGAAATAGCAAAAAGGTTTGTTTCTTTCTTGGTCCATGTCTCTGAATCCAGTCTGTGTTTCACAACATTTTCTATAATTTATTATCATGTTTATTGATTTATGAGTGAAACACCATCTAAAAAACATTATGCTATGACCGAGCCAAGCAATAATTTTCCATATAACGCCCGGCTCTTTTTGATCATATTTGGATACTCACTCACCATGGTCACTCAACAAATAGAAAACCTAAAACTTGGCTTTTCACAACAATATGTCATCTTTTTGTTGGTCCGTAGAATTATGGTTCTTCGTGATCAAAAAATGCAACAACTACAGGAATTGAAAGACTTTGAAGAAGAAAGAGAGCAGATTTCGTCAACAGCAGAAGAAATTGCTGAAAAACTTGAAGATGCTAAAGAAAACCAAACTCAACTCAACTCAAGGTAGTCAGCCTATACAATAAATTTGTCCATTGCTTTCATCACGTTTCACAAAACAAATTTTAATTTTCCATATCTTAACAAAAAATGTTTTTTGATGTCTCTAGCCATTTGGAAACAAGTCACTTTGGTTAAAATTTAATTTTAGAATTTACAGAAAAATTAGTATGCATGCCTAATAAAACATGTATTAAAAATTTGAGATGCACTTTTAATAGAGCAAATACTGTTATAATCCCTACCCCATGAAATACTAGGTTGTATGACCTTCAAAGGTCGTAGATGTAGAAATTTACAGAGGGACACTTTCGCACTCTAAAATCATGCATCAAAGTGTACATAGTCTGACTGGGACATGTTTTCTGCTTATAAAAACAAACTCTGATTGTAAGTGTGATGTTTACTAGAGTTGCATACCGTACACCATATTGGTTTCACAGATGACTTCTACTGAAGACAAAGATAGAAGTGTCATTTATATAACTTAGCATGCGCTTCTAATAGAGTAAATACGTAATAAAGATTTGAGCAACCATGTACTACATCTTGGAATGCATGTGTTCTTTGGGGTTAAATATATAGGCTGTCGCACATCTGTGCTGGTGCACACTCACTGGTTGCCAGGAACTAGCTGTTTGCACTCAAAGATAAAATAAAAGCATTGATTTACATAATATTTGTCCATGTTAATAAACCAACTTTATAGGCAACATTGTCTGCACTGATCGCGAGCTTAGAGCTGAGCAAAAATGTAAAAAACAAAACGTCACAGTGCAACAACCTATTCATCACTAGAGTGAAATATGTACAGTGCACTGCTACTTTTTAGCTCCGCTGTCGACTTTGTCGAGCAGAGCTTATCATATGAGTGATTGTCCGTCGTTCGTCGTCCG